CACGACTTAGTCCTTTTTGTCCATGCGTGGCTTTGTCTTGTTCAACAGTACCGGGAACCCGGCGAGTTGGTACTAATTTATGATTGTTTTTTTTTTCTTCGCGCAACACACACAGACCGGAGAGAAATAGACACCACTGGTGCGATCGTGTCAAACTATTTCTCATGGTGTTTCTTTCTTTCTAGTACGTGTCGGTTGCGCAAAGAAGAATCATAAGTTTGTCTTGTTCCTTTTTCTGGTGCCTTTGCTGGTGGATTATTTTTGCACGGGGTAGAAATCGAATGTTTTATTCACGCGCGTTCTCGTTATGGAAGGGATAGCGCTAAGCTGTAATAGGCTAGCTGGATAACTGACCCTTTTGCAGATAGTGGACTCCTTAGGTACCAGCCAACGCTAGGACGCTAACTGCACGGGACAGAATTCTAGCCGCGTTTTGATGAACACCCTGCAAAACGTTTGGAGCATGATCAGAAAATGCTGCCGATCAACAGTCGAGGGTCCCGAGAATGCAGCCCGTGGCCTAGAATTCGCAATAATATCTCAGTCAGCTAAAAACCCCGTGCACGCACAAAGACAGATTCCTAGGAAACGGGAAAGACAAGGGTGCCTGCGAGAATACCCCGGGTCGTGCCCGCAGATCTGAGACGTGCGAGCGCTTGGTGTCAGCGGGAGTATTGGTCTCTCGAGTTTGGAATTCCATGTCTTGTCTGTGACTGTCTGTGATTAAACTCGAACCTCTCTGCGCTGAGAATCAGTTTCAAGACAGCCTAGCGCTATGAAGCAGAAGCTTGGCAACAACGCGGAAGCAACTTCGAAGAAACTAAGTTAAGACTTCAGAATCGTCCAGTCTCACTCTTTCAAGTCCTGCGTGACTTCAGGCAAGTTTCGCTATCTTTTCATTCTGTAGCTCATTAAAGTGGGATTATTCGCTCGCTGAGTTATACGCGAGTGTTTGGAGGCTATCCGAGAGTTTTTTTTTTTTTTTTGAGAGCAAGGCCGTTTACTCACCACAACGAACATCATTATATCGTCCGTATGGTTAGAAGATGAGGACACGCAACGTAGTGACAGAAACATCGATTTTATTTTGAAGCATTATCAACTTTGTCATGCGTTATACACAGCGTTAGACGTTACAATGTTGACAAAAAAGTGCCGTCATCGAACAACAACACGAACTGATTTACGTAACAAAAAGGAACATGCACCTTTCTAAAAAGTTTTCAAACGTGACACCATAAAAAAGTACGTGAATCTCTTATAGTTTACAGCACGTCATGAAAGCACCTTTATTTGTGTGTAAATTATTAAGGCAATTTTTTCAATATCTTATGTACAATTTTTTTCTTAGAAGTAATTCATGCAACATTGAGAACATTTACGATGATAATCACAAAAGGTGAGGGAATTGTTTTGTGTTCATTATTTTCACGAAAAAAATAGTGTGCGTAATGTGATTAGTGCTGTGTGAAAATACAGTGAGTACGTCTTACAGCAACTCCAGCATACCAATAGGATGAATTCTATCAACTTCCATCCTTTTACTACAGTTCCGAATGTTCGTTTGAGCAGAATGAGTAGTGAAATATCCCACCCTAAAGAGTGCAGGTATTTATTGTGAATTGGCAGTTAGTGGTGGGTGTCAATAGTAAGGCCGTAAAAGTTATCTTACGCTACTAGTATATGTTGGTGTTATTTCTTGACAGTTGATTGAAAGTGACCACTGGTTGTGCGAAAATTTCAGCACAACGTCGTGTGAATTTTGAAAAAAAAAATAGGTGGCGCTTGGCTCTCACGAAATAACGACAAAATATAAGTGAACAAAGTGAAGAAACGTACTAATGAAAATGAAAAACGTAAATGTTACGGCAACTGGTAAAAGACTGGTAATCGCCTTCTGAACCAGCCGCCTAATTGAGGCCTTGCTGGATGCCTCAGACGTGCCGCAAGTGGATGAATGGCGTATGTTTTATTATTACTTTAGTGTAACGGTAGTGATAATCACCTTGTTGCCGCTGTGGTAGACCGTGATGTGTTCCGCGACCATTTTCAACATGACAATTTGGTTCCTTTAATCGATCATTTCATCGACGCTGCTCGCCCAGTATCTATAATTTCCATGGTCCACTCATATTAGTCTTAAAATAAACTTAATCAGTGGCTAGACGCGACTCCTTTTTTATATAAAGGAGGAGAACACGTGCGGAGAAGTAAGGGTCTCTCGGTGTACTTCGAGGCCCTACTGTGAAGAGCACAACAGTTGCACAAAATAGTGTTAACTGGGAAGCGTGGGAAGGTGTTCCCATTGTTCGCTGGTGCCCTATCAATAATAATTCAGTTTTGAGTAATTGTTTGGACGTTTTGTTTATTGAAACAAAACGTCCTGATCCTGTCGTATGTCGTATGCCTGATTTCAAACGAAGATATGCTGTTTGTCTTCAATTGTTAAAGAGCCCCTAAATCATCGAGAGGTCGTAGTTTAGTGGTGGCGTTGTAGTTGTGCGCGAGTCTGGAGTGAATGCGCTCGTTGGCTCGACTGTCCACATCTCAGCATGCCCTTCCAGAGTCTGAGGTGAAAACGCGATCAGTGTGCGGAACCGCTCGTATATAGGCAGGCGAGCATCTATGGGTAGTTTAGCGACTTTTAACTTGGTGCTTTGCGTTCACGCCATGAGCTTTTTCGACCAATCAGAAATATGCTTATCTTTACTATATAAGTGCGCTGAGTAGGGGGATTTACCCAATGACTGTGGCGCCTACGCTTTATAAGAGACGTGTTTACGCCACGAAACTTTTCTACTAACAAAGGGGTATAGAGATTCGTAGCAAAACTCTCATATACAGAATGCATTCACGTAACGCCATCAAGTAACACCACTCAAGCAACTCCGGTCTCTCCTCCCTCTCCCCCACCGCACCCCTCGCTTTGGCAGTTGCCCTCATTTCCTCCTCAGCTTACATCAGAAGAAATGGTATGAAGAATGTACTCAATAGCGCTAAGAAAATCAGTTCCAGCCTTGAAGACAAATACACTCGTCGAAACGTCAGTTTGAGCACACAGTCTACAGTCTACATCATTGTTTTTATCGCGAAACTTCCACTGTTTGCCTTCCTGTCGTTTATTTGGATCATAATTTTCAAGCAAACTTGAGACGCGTGAAGTTTCAGAGCCAATATTATTCAGAAATAAACGTGGGCAGTCCTGAAAGTCCGCTAAGGGTCCGTATGTTGTCATGGTGGCTTGTATATTTTTTGGTATTCAGTGAACCTATTCGGCTATTTGTTTGTTTTGATGAGTATATTGCTCATATTCGTCTAAGGAAAAATCATGTTTTGTACTAGTATTCTTCTGAAGGTTCCGTAGCTTTCTTGTCTTAGTTACTGAGTATACCTAACGCAAACGTTTCTCAAGTGTACTGACTCGCGAATGAAAGACACCATTGGTTTAGGGGTTTTTCTATAAAGTAGGCATATGTTTCCTGGTTCCTTTAACAGTCTTATCATAGGAGGTACGTTACGAACAGGTACGTTTGAAAGAAAATAAGTTAGAGGCATACGGATCGTCTGGGGCAGCGTAAACGTGTGAAAGGGTATAGGAAACGCTGCGGAATTGCATGCGATGCCTCTATTAGGCATAACACTCTACAAAACACGTGATAGTAGTTCACACTTCCAATCTTGCCCGTAACTAAACGGGCATCAAGCCAACAGATGGGGCAGTAGAAATTTTCAGGTCAACAAGCTGTCACAAAATACGAAACAGTTTTTTTTTCCTCTCATTTCGTAATGCACACAGCAAGAATCTACACAGTCAAGAGTTTGAGCGATTCTGCAGAGTCTGTAAGAGGCTTCGTCATTGGAACACTTCACAGTCTTCCAGCGGCGACCATCCCACCAGATCACAACGGTAGAAGGCTTGTTCAGCGGTTCACAGTTTGCGGTCCACTTTGACGGTTCACAATTCACGGATGACATTAACGTTGAAAAAAGCACGAACGCCGTTTCGTCGTAGTTGCTGGCCACCATATGACGTAGTTTAGAAGAGGGCTCACTGGTGTTAACATGTTGCCAGAACGGAGAGACCTACAAAAACACAGCACTGCATTTGTCACTCACCCAATACAGACTTTGTATGCGCTCGTGAGCACGCTGCGCTTAACCTACAAAACAAGGCTTGAATTAGCCGTTAGCCAAGTTAACGTGTCGGAAAACGTGTGTCACAAAAGAAAAAAATAATGTTGCCTTCCGCCGTGGGACAAAACGAAAATACTAATACATTAGTGTTATGCTGAATTGCAAACATTCTTTTTTGGTGTCTCTGGAATTCTAACTGGCCCTTAAATTTAGTTATAGTTGAGAAATTGACGAAGCAAATACATCATCCACATTATTCCTGTGTGTTGTACGGTACATGTTTTTAGATTTGATAGTGTTATATACCTTCGTTTTATGCTGCAGTAATGCAGTGTTTCAGCAACTTATATTTCCTACGTTGTAACGCCAACAAGGAATACACATACCAGGCATTTCAGACTTGTGGAGAACTCTTTGTGTCGCCATTTAGTGCAATGCCCGTCACTTAAATCCTTTATTCGTATCACCTTCCAGCATTACGACCTTTCACGCATATCCTCCCATCTTGCGCGCAAAAAACTTGGGTTTGAATCTTTCAAACGTAAAACATTTCTATCTGCTTAGCGTTAAACGAAGATTGCATACGAAAAATTACGCCCGGGATACCTATAGACTTCACTTAGATTTCATCGATGCCAAGGCGTGACGTACAATACCCACCTCTTCAGCTTCGATTGTCGGCAGCTGCCGGCTCCTGAAATGCATGGCCTCCATTTCTCAAAAATGCATGGCCTCCATTTGTGCCACTTGTCTGAACGCAGCCCGTAGAGCAGGTCAGGTAGGGGTTTACCAGGCTTTACGTCGACGCAGCGGTCTCGTCACCGCGGCACGAGTCACAGCGAAACTACGGCGAAACGCAGCCTTTCTCAGACGAAGCCATTGGTGTGCAACGCCGTGTTCTCCTGGTGCTGGAAGACGGACGACGCGGTGGTCTTGCCGTTGGAACGGTTCGACGACAGGCGACGCACCCTTCGCCTGGAGCGACACATCAGCACGTCCTTCATGCTGCGCCGGAAGTTGTCCGACAGGAAGGCGTACAGTATCGGGTTGATGAACGAGTTCATGTACAGCACCAGCGTCGTGGCGATCGTGAGGCTCACTGCCGATCGCGACGCCCCCTCGTAGCCGGACGACCAATACTGGTAGAACTTGCGCGCGTGGAAAGGCAGGTTGCACACGGCGAAACCAAGCACCACGGCCACCAGGAGGCGTATGACTTTGCGTCGGGCTCGCAGCACCGTGGCGGCAGCTTGCTGCTGATAGTGCTGGTGCACTTGAGTGGTGGCGCCGACGGGGAAGCAGTGCTTCTTGTGTACCGTGTGCCGGGACTTCTTAGCCACTCCTCGCTGGCTGTTGCAGACTGCGTTGTTCTGGAGCAGGTTCTCCCGACACGCCATCGTGGCGCTTGAGTTAGTCCTCTCCAGTGGTTGCAACTCTAACGTGCCCCTAAAAGAACCAATAGTGAGAAATTAAGAGAAAATATCTATAATCATTTAGTGATCACTACCTACGTGGTCTGTGTAGTGTTAAGTATTGTTCTCACCTGCGACAAGCAGTGGTCGGCCGACCACGCTAGTCAAATATTCTCCAATGTTTTCAAGTATTCTACAACGTTCTCGAGACCCCGCCGCGGTGGTCTAGTGGCTAAGGTACTCGGCTGCTGACCCGAAGGTTGCGGGTTCGATTCCCGGCTTTGGCGGCTGCATTTCCGATGGAGGCGGAAATGTTGTAGGCCCGTGTACTCATATTTGGGTGCACGTTAAAGAACCCCAGGTGGTCAAAATTTCCGGAGCCCTCCACTACGGCGTCTCTCATAATCAAATGGTGGTTTTGGGACGTTAAACCCCACAAATCAATCAATCAATACAACGTTCTCGAGTATTCTTCAATTTTCTCGAATATTCAACGCTCTCGAATATTCTCCAACGTTCTCGAATATCTTCCCACGTTTTGAAACATTATCCAATGTTCTCAAAAATTATTCAATATTCTCGAATATTCTCAGATATTGTCAAATGGGCTTTAGTGGTTTAAAATCGTTGAAAAAAGACTGCTGTGACTCAGTCACTTCTTCCTCGAGTTTTAGTCACGTTTTCAGTCGCATACGTCTGTACGAATCAAATGCACAGTAACACGATGTGAGATAATTTTCTATGGCAATGGCAATGCCAACCATATACAAAGAGGCGGGAATTTTTCGTGGCGTCGTGTATGTCACCTTTAGGAGTGAAAATCGGTGGCCATGAGCCGGTCTTTGGTGCATGTCGCTGGCGTGAGTGAACCTTTGTCTTAAGGAAGTCGCTGTTATGGCATTTCATACGACTGTACAAATTGATGGCGTGGACCTTTTGTCAATATTGAGGCAGATATGTATTCCCTGCATAAAGAACTTGCGTTCTATTATTAGATTTAAACAGTTTTCTGGTATGGCTTAGCAATTGCGATGTTATTTGTGAATTATTGACCATAATAGTACTCTGAAGGATTTTAAAGTGCCTGCCAACGTGGAACGCAATTCAGTAAAAGTGTGTGAAAATGTGACCAGCTGTATTTGACAAGGTGTTCGTACTTATTTTCGAAAACACTGGGCATGTGCGCTTACATGCGTGCAGAAATCAGTAGGACAGAAAGTTTGGCCAAGTAATTTCATTAGAGTAAATCATTTGTCTCTTACTAGCATATTAGTACAATGTAGATTCAAACTAAAAATAGACGAAAAGTCCCCTTTCGATGCCGCCGATGGAGATATGCCATTTTTTTTTCAATTATGTGCTATGTAAGGTGACGTTAGCGCGCAAGTATGGCACCGGCTACTCCTTAGCCCTTGAGTAAATGTTGAACATCTATATTAAAGGAAAGCATAAGGAGCAGTGCATGAAAAAATCAACACCCGAGCGCACTTATGCAAAAACACACTGATATGCACACATCAAACAACACGAACACAATGATAAAGAAATGTTTGAAAATCAACGAATAAAGTCTCTAATATTGTCCCTTGTTAACATTCGATCCAACCTGCACAAAGTAGCCGAACACATGTCTGGTTCTTATGATGTATTCGCTCATGTGTGCATAACAGTCGACACGCCATGCACTTCAACACACATATTTGATAGATGTCATGTAATAAGTACAACATATGCTAAACTAATGAAAGTTTGTTATTTCTTAGTACTTGTCAGTGATTCCACTGTCGTCTGAAAGTTGTTTTTATGCTTTCAATGCTGTGAAAGCGTGCGCCTGTAAAGCACCAGCTTGCTATGGTTATATGATGTTAACTCTAATTGACTTCAGTTTGTATAATTACTACGCTACAGTCAAAGAAAATTAATGTAGGCCATGGAATTTCTTGGCCTAATGGTCGGTCGTACTCACTAGGCTGTGTCCTAAAAAGTTAACCCCCCTCCCCCCCCCGCCCACCCAAAAAGTTCTTTCCTTGCATGTGCATGTATACTAAATATTTCGAACTGACATAAAATTTTATTAGTGCAACAATTTGAATGCGCAATCGCTTGTGATAACCATACCTTGTCGCGACGAATGTGGTCTCTGAAGATAATGATGGTTATTTCCCATGTGGCCTATTCTTAGCCACCCCAGTCTGACGTGAATTTACGATGGTGGAAACGAATTTATGCGTACTATTTAGTCCTAAATTATGCGGCTTCAATTTTTGCGTACCGCCCTGGCGCAAAAATGGTGTACGAAATGGAGCAAGTCACGCACACGCACACTTTTTTAAGTGTCTTAAAGCCTTGGTCTCAGAAGCTGAAATGCATCAGCCGCGATTCGTTGTCCCTCCCCTCTGCACCCCATTTTAGGCTATACGCCACTAGTTTGCACGATCAGATTTCCCGCGTACATTCCGCACATTGCACTGAACATTTCACGCAATGAGGGTCACCTCTGCGGCGGCTGCATTTCCGATGGAGGCGGAAATGTTGTAGGCCCGTGTACTCAGATTTGGGTGCACGTTATAGAACCCCAGGTGGTCAAAATTTCCGGAGCCCTCCACTACGGCGTCTCTCATAATCATATGGTGGTTTTGGGACGTTAAACCCCACAAATCAATCAATCAATCAAATCAATGAGGCTCACCTTCGCGGGCCACTGCAGGAGTATCCCGTGGGGACGCTGCTTCTCCACAGCTGCAGGCCGATGATGGAGTACATGACGCTCATGATGGCCAAAGGCACGAAGAAGCACACCACGAAGTTGAGCACGTCGTAGGTGCGCGAGTCGTACAGGAAGCGGCGCATGATGCAGATGTGGATGGTGCGGTCCGGCTCGTCGTGCGAGGGCACCTCTGCGGTGCCGCACATCACCAGACGCGGGCTGCAGAAGCCGGCGCTGACGAGCCACACCGACAGCACGACGATGCGCAGGCGGCGCAGCGTGATCACGTGCTTGCTCCACATGGGGTGGACGATGGCGATGTATCGCTCGACGCAGATCACCGTCAGGATGCCCACGGACGCCGTGTAGCTCAGGGCCTGCGCAAGGAGGAATTGATGGGCGATATTGCGAGTTAGAGCTTGATGGTGAAACAGTAGTTGTTTTTAGATGCGGAGCATCTAATACTCGAGGCTTGTAGTGCGGCGCCGTCCGCAAGCTTCCTCCTCCTTCTTCCACCATCTGTGCATCCCTTCCTCCTCTACACACCGCGCGCGCTTCACTCCTCCACCATCTGTGCACCCTTCCTCCTCTACACACCGCGTGCGCTTCTCCTCTTCACGAACATTCGCTAGCTGTATAATGTAGCGCGCATGCGCCGTCACGCTTCGAGAACATCGGCAGCTGACGCGCGCGCATGCGCCGTCGCGCTTCCAGAACATCGGCAGCTGACGCGCGCGTATGCGCCGTTGCGCTTCTCCCCCTTCTCGAACATTCGACAGCTGACAGTGCATGCGCCGTCGCGCTGTATATATACTCAAGGTCGGCGCTCGCTCGCTCAGTTGCCGCTTGTCGGTTGGTTTGTACGGTGCGTCGACGTCCAAGGTCGCGGTGAAATGAATTCCAACGAATCCACAAACACAATGATCGACGTCCCTTCGACCAGCGCCACCCTTTCGCATACGTGTGTACGTGTTCACTCATTTAACACCCCCTCCTACAACCACGTTAACCAATTTAGCCATCGACCCAAGTAAGTCGCAATTTAACACCCCATTTCACAACCACGTTAACCAATTTAGCCATCGACCCAAGTAAGTCGCACTTTACCGTAAAACTCTTCCTTTCGTGCTCATTATAACTTTTGCCACTCCTAATTCAGGTGCAGGTACGCAGGGAGACGTGCTACATTAGGAAACAATAGGGTTTATGTGTCAGTGAACAGTCAGTGCCTTTTTATGTTTGTCGGTGACGATTTGTAAAGACAGATAAATAGAGAAGAAAGGTAGGGAGGTAAACCATGCTTGGCTTGATTGGCTACCCTACCCTTGGGGAGGGGGGGGGAAGGGAGGATATTAGAAAGGAAAGAGATAGAAAAGAAGGGGAGTAAGAAAGAGAAGAGTGAATAGTCAGCTCAAGATTATACAGCACTGTCTCACACTGTTCTTTCACAAGCGGTCGTGATATCTGGTGGTCCTTAAGAAGTACAAGAGGGCTTTCGTGGCTTTGCGCGCATGGGAAATCGCAGCCAAGGTCCCAGGATCTTCCCTTCTGTAAGCGACTGTGAATCCAGCTGACAGAGCTTGGCTTCCATAATGCGTCGTTCGGTCTGGTATGCTGGGCAATGACATAGAATGTGCTCAAGCATTTCCTCGCAGGCGCAGATGTTGCATACCGAAGTGCTCGCGATTCCAAGGAGACGAGAGTACGAATTCGTAAATGTCACGCCCAACCTCATGCGACACAGTAAAGTTTCAGCGCATCGTGGGAGCCCGGATGGAAAACGAAGTTGCAAGTCTGGGTCGATCGAATACAGGTGTGTGTTGGAGAAACCCGCCGTGTTCCAATGTAGGAGAGTCATACGGCGAGCAAGTGATTGTAGTCGCCTTGCAGCATCCGTTCTCAAGAGTGGTATGGGCCCCCGCAGGTCTTGGTCATGAGCCGATCGAGCAGCTTCATCAGCGTGGTCATTGCCGACAACGACGATCCACAAATTTTCGCACCCGCACAGGTATACATAACTTGATCAAAATGGCTGTTGTATGTTCGTTTGGTTTTCTGTTGGTACGCAATTTTTTTTTAATTTCGTACAGTTTATGTACGCAAGAAACTAATGAGATTTGTATTTTACAAGTTTTGTTTTGCAAATAAGAAAATTTGTTGTCAATCCACGTTTTCGTGTTCATTGTTTTCTCTGTGGATGTACTGCCTGTCCAACATGAAGGTATGCCAAGGCCACAAATGTTTTTTTTCTTTTTTTATCTTGGAGTTTGTTATAAACTGGTCGAACCTCATGTTGCCTCGCGGCTTACTTGTTAACGATGAACCTGCGCTTGAGGGACACAATGTCACTTGAACTGCGAACGTTTAAGCAGAACAAGTAGAATACCATACTTATATGACCTTCTAAGACACCGTATTATGAATAAAATGGCGAGCTTAAAAAAAACGGGACATAGTGCTGTCATGCGTTGTCTTTATTTGTCTTGGTCGTTTATGTGCGCTGTTGGGTTCGTAATAAAATTACTCGATAATGAATTAGTGCGATGAACAATGTGAATCAAATAGCTGGTGGTAAGGTGTATCCATTTTCGGTCTTCAGAAAGAAGGGATAGGGACACAAGTTTATCTATGCTAAGTCGGCCTTCCTATACGTGTAATACTTGCGTGCCCTCGTAGAGTAAAAGTGTGCAATTAAACAATCCAAGAAAAAACCATGTGATTTCGCGATTCTTTGGGGCAAACCCCGCCGCGGTGGTCTAGTGCCTAAGGTACTCGGCTGCTCACCCGCAGGTTGCGGGATCGAATCCCAGCTGTGGCGGCTGCATTTCCGATGGAGGCGGAAATGTTGTAGGCCCGTGTGCTCAGATTTGGGTGCACGTTAAAGAACCCCAGGTGGTCGAAATTTCCGGAGCCCTCCAATACGGCGTCTCTCATAATCATATGGTGGTTTTGGGACGTCAAACCCCATGTATCAATATCAAATCCTTTAGGGCGAAAGAAATTAGTAAAATAATGATGTATTAATTTAACATGGATCATGGACACAGGTTGATAAGGTGATATTAAAGCGAGATTTATAGCTTCTTTGATACGACAGATTAGAACGTTTGATCATATCAATTCCTGTACTTATGTATAGCGGATGAAAGTGAGTGCCTGTGAGGTAAAGTCTTTATGTTACGGAGCACAGAAAGCCTACAGAGGTATAGCAAAGTCAATCTCCAAGAAGCCTATGAAGTTGGCGTCATATTAGGCGGATGGGTGCGTGAAGTTAGCGTCCTTGATATTTTTTTTTCCTTTAATTAATGGTCGGGCTGTTGAATAGACTGGGCGTGTCGCTTACCTGCACGAAGAAGTACATCCGGCAGAGGAAGTCGCCGAAGGGCCACTCTCCCATCAGGTAGACTGACATGTTCTGGTAGACGCAGAAGAGACCCACGCACAAATCGGCCACGGCCAGGTTTGTGAGGAAGAAGTTGGTGATGGTGCGCATCCGCCGGTGTACCACGACCACCAGTACGACCAGCAGGTTGCCTGCGTGGTCGAAGAGTGGAGGCAGTGAAACGCCGATAATTTAAAAATCGGGAGAGTTAGCGGACAAGCGACGACGATGCATCCATAATCAACATGATCATCATCGGAATAATCAGTCATCTTTAGCCTGGTTAGCTTACTGTAGGATGAAAGGTCATGATCTTCAGTTTACCCTAATCTGCGCGAGCTGATTCTATCTGATCCCTGTACACTTCTTAAGTGATTAACTTCATCTAACACTTTGCCGTCCTCGCATTCATGCAGTCACTAGTTATAACTGTGTACAGGAGCCCAATATATTTCAAAATGGATTACCATGGATGTGCAGATTTAATTGATGAAAATATATATTTTGACAATAAACTGCACAGGACGAGCGAGTCTATTTTCACCTCTACAGCTAAGGGTCGGGTGTGCCAAGCAGAAACGTCACCTATGACGTCACACCAGCTCCGTGAAGTTTGAATTGAACAACGTTTTAGCAAACATTGCATAAGTATTGATATTTCCAGTGTCTGTGGCTGGACCATGTCATTGAGGGGGTCAGTGACCTACGCCGTGATGCCTCGAGATCCTCACCAGTTTGCCAGCATCAATAATCAAAAAGTAGTTTAGAACAATGGGCCACTTTATAAATTGATTCATACGCTGCGTATTATAGGTCGCGTGATATCTATCTAGTGAGGTGGAAGCAGACACGCCCATAGTGGGCTTGAAAAGAACAAAAAGATTGTGGCGCAATATTCAGACCATGAGGTCTCCAAACTGTAGGTGTAAAGTAGCACGTACCCATTCATTTCCACCATCGTCAGGTGCAGTGAAACGCAGCATACTTTCTTTTAATCATTTTTTTCAGGCGGAATCCTTAGACGGCCCGTATAATGCGAAGTTTGACTTTCAGAGGCATGAACTTGTTTAACGCAAGAGAACATCATCCCATGATGACGTCACCATAGTATGACTCATGGCGTCAATATAGCGTGAATTCAGAACATTACACTGAAGTCATTATGACGTGATAGTGTGACGTCCCACAATGACGTCATCACATGCCATCGCCACTCGGCCAAAAGTGGACCGATCATGGATGCAATGCTAAACCAGGTGAGGCGCACAAAGCTATCGCAGGGGAGATCAATAAATTGATATAAAATAAAATTGTGGCATCGAGTGGTCTAACACGAATGCATGAAGGGCCCCTTGAACTTTTCGATTTCTACGCAGTAAGGGAGCCCTCATCGAAGAAAAAAACCTAGCTTGAAACGTAAAGCAAAAGAGAGGTGTAAAATAAGCAGCTCCTTTTTTTAATCTTTTCTCATTCGCTTAGACGGGATGAAACACCACGAACACCATGAGGAAGGTCACGTTAGCAAGTATATCACTTGGAAAATCCTTACGAAAGTTCATGGCGCCATTCGTGCAATCATCTCGGCTACAAGAATGATCATTTCTTGCAAAATGGGTCACGTGCTTATGCCTCTCAATACCCCAGAGCCGGGATCATAATACCGAAAGAGTCTTCGTACGTCGCATGGGACGGCGCTGCCGGAAAGTTTATACCGCGCAAACTTGCTACGCTATATAGTGTACGGATGGGTGGTCTTCGCGCGGCGCGGCGTCCAAGTTTGGGTGAATGTTTTATTGAAGCGAAATTACGCAAATAATTGAGAAAGTGATGCAATCGTGGCATGCTCGACGTATAGCAAAAAAAAAAAAGAGAAAAACGCAAAGCAAAAAACGAAAGAAAAGGCGTGATGGAACGTGAACGTGTACATATATGACAAAGGCAACCTTCGGAACATGTCACATAGTTCCCATGACGATGAGTTTTTTTTTCTGTCTTGATTTAAACATCAAAACGGGCAAATAAACTATAAAAGTAGGAGCGAATCAATGGGTCGAAAGTGGTGTAAAACAACCTAGTAAACTCAATGCGCTAGATTTTTTTATGTTGCGTTCACCTCAGGCACGTCCCCCGAATTTTGATGAAGTCGACGGGTAGTATTTCGTATGCATAATGACAGTGCCTCGTAAGTGGTTCAGCCACGCAGAAAACTGCATGATGAATTTATGTTAAATATCGCCTTCGGAAAATCGCGTTGAACCTATAGTATATGCAAAATGAAGCAAGCATAACTAAATCGATGAGGGCGATCAGCTATTTTGCATGTTCTCGGCCCACACGCGCGCCGTCCATCGTGTATCGGCATTTTTGATCAATCACTTACCGCGCTTTTACCCCCTTTATGCGTTTCTCGACGCTTCGTGAATGTGAAGTCGTGTGCCCCACTTGGAGGTCACATTCCGCCACGTTCGTGCACGTAATAACTGTGCCGCCGAAGCTCTCGCTTGCAGTGGCTCTGACGCTACCTGCATCTCGTCAGCTTCTACTTGCGTATGGAACTGGCGCGCGCTCTTAAAAACTGCAATCACCAGAATCGATACTATAAGAAGTGCAACAATCGAGCAAATAAACGGGCGTTCGCAAAACTTGTAAGCAAACGCACTGCCTCCAACTTCAGTGTTCTGACACTGCACCGCGTCCGCGGAAGTTCGTATGGCATAGTTGCCGGCGTGTTGAGACCTGCCTGAATCTGAATTACATAAGAGTCAATAGCAAACAATTTAGCCCCACCGCGGAAGTCTAGTGGCCAAGGTACTCGGCTGCTGACCCGCAGGTCACGGGATCGAATCCAGGCTGTGGCGGCGGCATTTTCGATGGAAGGGAAAATGCTGTAGGCTAGTGTGCTCAGATTTGGGTTGACGTTAAAGAACCCCAGTAGTTCAAAATTTCTGGAGCCCTTTATTTTGGCATCTCTCATAATCATAAGGTGGTTTTGGGACGTAAAACACCTCATATCAATCAATAGCAAACGATTTCCCATGTGGCTTATTCTTAGCTACGCCAGTCTGACGTGAATTTACGATGGTGGAAACGAATCGATATGTGCTATTTAGTCGCTGTACTCGCTGTAGTGCTGTAGCGTAGTAATTAACATGTATTGAAGCGATACGTTATTACATGTTCTCTCATTTCACGACGTCGACGGCAGCAGAGCTCGCAGCGCTTCAAGGTGCGGTAAAGTACATTATTCAGCAGCACACCAAATCAATGGGCCATCTTTTGCGACTATAGATGTCAGCCTTCAAAGACTATGGTTTGCTTTGCGGCATGGATTACACGAACAATCAGTGTATCAGATAAGAAACGACTACCACCAAGAACTCGCGGAAGGACATGATAATGTATTGAGTGGTTACCGGGTCATTGTGGCATTGTGGGCAGTGAACGCAAGTACGAAGCTACTCGATCGGCTAATGAACATGACCTGCGGACGCCCATACCACTATTCAGAACAGATTTCCGATGGAGGCGGAAATGTTGTAGGCCCGTGTACTCAGATTTGGGTGCACGTTAAAGAACCCCAGGTGGTCGAAATTTCCGTAGCCCTCCACTACGGCGTCTCTCATAATCATATGGTGGTTTTGGGACGTTAAACCCCACATATCAATCAAACAGATGATGCGCGGCGAATGCAATCACTTGCTCGCCGTATCCCACTTTTACAATATAATACGCAGGGTTTCTTTAACGCGTCACTGTAATCAATCAGCGCAAATTCGCAACTTTATTTTTCATCCGGGCTCTGACGACGAGATGGAACATTGCTGTGTCGCATGTGAGTGGACGTGGTATTTACAAATGCGTATTTCTGTCTCATTGGAATGGCTAGCAGCGTTGAATGCAACATTTTTGCCTTCGAGGAAAACGCTTTTTATGCCACTGCCCATCATACTGGACTCAACGACGTGATATGGAAGCCAAGTTCCGTCACCTGGATCTAAGACCACTTAAACAAAAGATCCTGTGACCTTGGCGGACGGTCTCACATACGCTCAAGACCACGAAAACTCTCTTGTGCTTCTTCAGCACCACCGGACTTCACGAGCGCTTGTGAATGAACAGTGCGCGACTGTAGTGTGTAGTCTCGACCTGATAATTTATCCATATTTTTCTTGCTCTTCTTCTTTTTCTCTATCTCTTTCCTTTCTAATATTTCATCTTTCTCTCACCCCAAGTGAAGGGTAGCCAACCGAGCTAAAGCTTGGTTAACCTCCCGGCCTTTCCTCTCCATTTCTTTCTCTCTCTTATTAGAAAAGTGATTAATCATAATAATGTCGCTTTTCTCGTTGTGGCTATTTGAAAACACGAAGGCCCTAAAAGATTAAGTAAAAAAACTTTTTTCTAAGAATAAAAGAAAAAAAAACTTGATGCTTTCAAAATTTCTCAAAAGAATGTCCTCACTTGTTAGCTGAGTACAAAAGGTATCGTAATGCTCTAAACGCTAATCTAATAAAGCAAAGTCATCTTTAAAAAAAGCTTTCGAGCTTAGGTAACAACCTTAAGCAAATATGGGTAGAAATTAAAACTCTAATCGACAGCAAAGTTAACACACTTCTCGGAGTGTTTATTAATGTCAATAATTATTGTGGAGTTGTATTAGCCAACAAATTTAACGAGCATTTTTGGAAGTGGGTAAATATGTAAACTCAATGCCCCTCCCCGATAATATCTCCCTTACGTCATACATTTATATATAAAAGTATCACTCCATATTCTTGGCAGCAAAGACAGAATCAGAAATTGTATCCATTATTTGTTCCCTCGAAACACAAGTGTGATGACGACACATCACCATTCTACATTGAGCTTTGCATTGGTTACTTTATAGAACCATTGATTTGCATATTCAACCAGATGTCGGATACTGGTGTGTTCAGGGATAGATTAAAAATTGCTTTTGTCACTTATCTTTCAAGGTGAGAAAAAAGCACAATTCGGCAATTACCGGCCAGCTTCACCACTGCCAATTTGTCATAATTTGTCATACCAAAGAATAATTTACAAACGTTCATTTAGTTACCTCTCTGCAAATAATGTGATACGTGATTATCAATACGGTTTTTAATCCAGTAAATCGACTGAGACTGATTTACTGTAAATTAAAAATGACTTAGTTCGGAACATTTAAATTAAACACTTTACAATCGGCCTATTTCTTGACTTCGGTAAAGAGTTTGATTCGGTTCAGCATGACATTCTGCTAGCAATTTAGAAATTTACGGAGTTCACGGCATTGCCAAATGTCGTACGGAAGGCTACTTGACAGGACGATAATACACAAAGTTACATGACAGTTGCTCTAACCATGGGACATTAAAATGTTCTCCTATTCATCGTGTACAATAATGACATTGTAAACATTCCTTCATCTTCAAACATTAACCTCTGTGCCGACGGCCCTAATGCCTTTTTTATGGCTCCAACTTAGAAGTTGAATAGAGAGCGAAGAGTTTGTTTGGAAAGTTACAGGGATGATTGACATTAACTCAACTGAGTTTTAATGTTTAAAAACTAATTTCATTCTGTTGCATGCTAAAAACACAGCAATAAATCACAACTCAAAACTCTGCTTTGGTTGCCACATGTCAAGACGAACACATATGTCAAGACGATTGAAAGTTTCTGGGTGTGCACTTCCGCAACGACTTGAGTTGGTCTGATCTTGGCACTTATGTCAAAATGAAAATGGTTTGCTCTATTGATGTTCTCAGCCGCATTAACGGTCTTCTTCCACATTCTGTGACAAAGCAGCAATACTTTTCTTGTTCACTCGCATCTTACGTTCTGCAGCTTAGTTTGGGGCACATGCAACAGGACCGATGCACAAAAATTGATCTCCATGCAACAAAAAGAACTGAGGCTGCTAACAAGAAGGCCAGATAGTCATAGGAACTTATCTTTTGTTTTTTACATCATGAGCTTTTCTGAATGCTACAAACTTAAACTATGGTCCTTATCTATAACCGTATACAAGAAAACTTTCCTGCATTTAGCAACGTATATTTCACTCGAGGTGTTAAAGAAAACTTACGAACGACTTCACTTGTTTCAACACGATGCAAGATAGTGACTTCACCATCAAATTATTGGCATCCGTAACAGTTTTCTCGTTACTGTGGAGCTAGTTTGGATAAGAGGATCTGTTACTACTTCAAAAAAAGGTAACATTACTTTTCGACCTAGGATGAACTGTTTCTTTTCGAGTGTTTGATTATTTCATGTAATTGTGTCTTCCCACTTTCAATGTGTTCTGTTTCGTATAATGATACTCCACATCATTTCAATCGTTAGTCATGCCCATTTTCAGCTACACTTGAGTATTTACTTCTTCGTTGTCACAGTTTTCGAATTTGATTCAAAGATTGCGGAAATACTGCTTCGTGTTTTTCTTTTTTCGAGCCTGGTTGTGGGGCTAATCAGGAAACAATCATGTCTGTTTCCTTTTATTTCTTCTTGGTAGCATGTAGCATGGCATGCAAGTGTACAACGTCCACATGTTAGAATAAAGCAACTCTTCTTCTTCTTCTTTTTTTATGATGATGATCATGATGATGATGATGCCTTTTTTGTGGCCTATGCACATTTTTTCGCACCATCAGGAACAAAGCAACTAAACTCACCAATTGCTGCAGCCTATAGAGTAGTCGTGTAGCGGCTCTGCCATATCAGCAGTGTTGCTTGTGTTCATTCTATACGCAGTAACTTGCGGCTAAACGCATTATGCTGGCTTATAGTGGCCATATGCTCTGCGATTTGAAATTTTTGTGCATATTTGTTTAGTAAAACGACTACCTACACATTTTTTCAAAATAAGTAACCACACATTTTTTCAAAATAAATAACTTCACTTTCTATCACTCTGCAATTATCTTCTCCAACTTTTCTGGGCATTTTTTATGGATTATCAACGTAAGTGTCACGAATGAGTGACAATACTGCAACAGTTCAAATAGAATGACATTTTAAACTAATGACATTAGCACCTCCAGTGGGACATGGGTATTAAACCCAGCCTCTTCGAACCAAGGTTGCGGGGATGCTGGGAAACTTTGGACTCACCGAAGAAGCAGCAACAAAATACGATGGAGTAGGCGAAAATGAGGCTGACGCGGACGTCCATCCTTTGAAAGATATCCTCGTCAGCTTCCGAGGACGCCCACACGCCGGAAGCAGAAGTGGCCGACCCATTTCCGGCCGCGTCCCATTCGCCTAGTGCGCTGCTGTCGTTGGCGTCGTCCGGGGCTGCCATTAGATAGGATAGGCAGGATTCCTGTAGGAGAGTTATGCAGGTTATGAATGCAACAAGGCAGCGGAGCAAGCATTTATCTACTGTCGCGACCATGTTAAAAACACATTCGCAAGCTTGGTAATAAATAATCATGTAGCTTGACAGGTTTATCATTCTGAAAACCTGTCCATGCTCCACCACTAAGCAAAGACAAACAAGATACATATGCACTTACAGCTCACAAAAACAACGCCGTCGTGTTGTGCCGCCGTACTCAAATAACGTAACTATTTCATTTTAGAGGAGGATAGCATGATACTAGCTACCTATAGAAATTGAAAGCAGGACAGGACAGAAATTCATCCCAACATCTCCTTTTATGTACCGTCTAGTATAGCGATATTTTTACTCACATGAGCCATGCTATGTCGAAACATGATTGTTTCAACAGCTAACTTTCAGGCTAGGCGAGCTTGGTTCTAGCTGATTATTTTCTTAGACAAAAATTCTGGAAAGTTAGGCGCTGTCAATGAATAAAAGCTATCCGTGCACTACGACAGCTTTACGGAAATGTCGCCCTTAGTGACCCATTCTTGTCATTGTGTGCATTCTTCTTTGCCTGTGTAAGGGTGGGGTGGGGGGAGGCGGCACTCTGTTTTCTTTTTTTTTGTATTTCTTTGGTACCAGAGGAGGGTATAGCAAACCAGATGTTCTGGTTGTCTTCATTACCTCCACCTCTTTGCTTTATCTTTCCCACTTCCTTTATTTCTTCGCGCTGCGCTGTATATCATACTGAAACGCCAAAAGCACGCAAAATTTAACCAACTAAATAACTTGCTCGCAAAACATGAAGGTATGACTTTGTCATGGTGCTAAATGTGTACAGTTGACGCTTGCGACGCGCTATTTCAACAAGAAGAAAGACACACGAGAACCACAGGTAGAAAGAACACAACACGAGCGCTCATGTTGTGTTTTACCTGCGGATTTCGTGTGCCTTTTTTTTCGCGTTAAATCAGTGCGTCGCAAGCGTCAACAGTAACGCAAATGAGTTCTGTGGAGACCCGACTGGTGGCGTGAAGGGTTAAGAGAGGAAAATTAAGCAACCACCCATTCCTGGCACGAAGCCACAAGGAAATGCGTACGAAATTGAAAAGAAAAGCCACTTAGTCGCCGAAAAAATCGTCCTGGTCCGGCAGTCGAAACTAGGACCAACGTCATTCCGGGGTGGTAGCTCTACCGATTGAGCTAGCTAATTAGCAGCGCGATGGCGAACTGTGTACAACCAAGCTCCTATAATTTGGTCCTTGTAGCTAAACGTGTAATGATAACAACGCGATAATAACGAGATGCAGCTTTTTGTTGGGCTGGCATTGCCATTTATTTTTGATGACGTCTGTGCTTAGTCCTTATACCTACACGGCGGGGCTAAACATTTACCACAGCAAGAACCAACGTGGTTAGCGCGTTCCGCCTGGCTCATTGTCTGCGTAAATTTTTACCGTTACGTGCATTCCAAGGAACTACCATCAACTCAAAGCAGTTAGCCTACGAAGGCAAAGTAGAGATGGGGATACATATAGAAGCTGTGTGTTCATGGACCGCCTAAAATATGGATATGAATAATTATTATCTGGAGTTTTGAGTTCCGAATCTACGATATGATTGAGAGACGACGTAATGGGAGGGCTCGGGAAATTTCGACCAGCTGGTGTTCTTCAAAGCGCAGTGAATTTATACAGTACATGGGTCTCTACCATTTCACCTTCATCGAAATGAGACCATGGTGGCCTAGACTGAACCGACGACCTTCGAGTCAGAAGCGGAACACCATGACCACTGCTCCACCACGGCGGACTGATACGCGTAATTAGCATTCCGCGAATGCGCTTCGCATTTTCGAGCCTTCGTTAGATCGGTGACTACCGACACCTCCCTCCGATATCTGCGAGAATGATTTCCAGGTACATGAGTCAGTTAGCTACGAGACTTACCCAATGCACGAGTCTATGTGTAATCTACTGATTGACCACAAATGAGCGGCCTGTAGTGGCGAATCGAAAAGTATACGCTGGCTGACGCTGGGGGCCGGTGATGCCTGCGCAGTTCCAGGGACACGTTAGAGAGCCCCGACTGGTCGAATTGAGCGGGAACCTTCCATTACAATGTCTCCCAAAGCAAGTGTCACCTTGTAGCATTAAGAAAAGAAGTGTAAATGTAAATGCTCATGTTTCTTTGTTAGACACATTATCAATCGGAACTCATACACATTGATGCAAAAGAAGTATAGAGGATGTGATTAGTAGTAATTGCAATGTAATTGTGAGGAAATGAAAGTGGGAGAAAAAACAACTTTCCGCGGGCACGTACTGAACTGGCGACCTTCCTATAACAAGTCCGATGCTCTTCCAAGGAAGATACTCTGGTGTTCCTGCCCGTGCTCATTTCACGAGGTGTATATGTCAATATAAAGATGGCTGTGAATATACCAGTGGCTATGCATTCCTGAGCAGAGCAGCCACACATGTTTCGTTTCGTTTTCACGCTCACAATGACTCCTTTTGATGCTTCTTCACAAATGAATAATATAGGAGAGGGGTAAGAATGGGACTCGCATGGAATGCTGGTAAAGACAATATTTAGTTGTACGGATAATATTTAGCTATACGAACTTTGCTGCAATTGCCAACAAAGTCCTCGGAAAAAATGGGATAAGGCCGAAGAGTGCGGTGGTCCATTTATGAAACCAAACGATGGAGATGACGCTGGCAAACGGGAGGTGCGGGGGAGGGGTGTCTAAGAATGAATACCGGGATGACAGCACCGTCAGACAATGCGAACATTCCTGTGCAAATGGAAGACGCGATGAACGGTCACCATTAAACGCGCGATTTCCCCACGCACCCTTATGAAAATGCCTTTCATTTTCTTTCTTCTTCGTTTTCTGTCTGCTCGTTCGCGTTTCGAAGTCAAGGTCTTCTGGTTTAGGCGGACCTATTCGAAGAAAGCTAGAATCCCAGTAGACGGGTCGACACGCAAAACACGGTCGCCGTTTTCTTGCAGCGTTCAGGCATTTTTGTGCGGCTAAGTGAATTAAAATGCGATCAGACCTTGTTTCGACGACTACACAACGAAGGAGCTCACGAAAAAGCGAGGCGATTTATCGTCGCACTATGGCGACAACTGTATCTGTACGACACCGTCACCGGTTGTTCGGGAGCCGCCGGTTGGCACTCGGCCAGATCGCATACATTTCATCAGCCGTAGAGTCAGCGTCCACGCAGTCCCGCTGCAGCGATTTCGTGCAACTCGATTAACCCTTGTGTGCTCGAGTTCTGAGGGACGTTCGAAGCACTCCTTTCTTCTATTTTTCTCTGTAGGGTATAGAAAACCGCATATAGCCACGATTAAACTCGCCTTTCTCTTGTTCTTCATTCCCTGTTTCTTTGGGCTTTTCGCAGAAACATCCGACGTGAGCAAGATTCTCACGGCGCCTGACGCGAGAGTGGAACCTCATTGAAAGAACCTCAAGGTCATTTGAATATGAGCAGTTTCTAGTTACGCAGTTGTTGAACGACAATGCGCTCTCTTTGTGTTCACTGCTTGACAGCTTCTTATGAAAGTAGTGGGCCTGGTTAGGGGCTGCTCGCGATGCTAACCTCAGTGAGCCTTTATGCGACTGATGTAAATGTATGTAGAGTTTATGCTGTAGTACAAAAACAGCAATGGCGAGGGCAAGGCAAACAGCAGTACTGTGTAAAAGCAATCAATTTTTCACAAAGCGCACGTCTGAAAACCACTCTTATCAACATTCCCTCATCTATTATTGATGCAAGTATATCGCTGTCCATTATATTTATATCGCTGCGCATTATTATATCGCTCTCCTCTCCTTCTATTTGAAGAGAAGAGACCAACCTTTATGTGTGTACCAGAGTGCTCAATAGCACTTTCAACATGGTAGTACGTGGCCTCCCGAGATCAAAGATTGCGCATGGCTTCAACTTTTTATTTCAGTGACTAAGCAATATTTTATTATTTAAGATGATACCCAAGCGAGAGAACCGAGCTTAGTAATAACGAAGCGAAGTCTGCTTTTAAAGCCAACAACTTTGCTTATTCTTTTGTGTCCGTTACGTGCAGTCGGTTACATTGAAACGCCGGAACTGCTCAAGTGACTGTAAAACTAGCATGGCTAAATGGACAGAGTGAACAGGACACTATCATCATCAAGAACAAGCACGGGTTCTTTTCGTCATCTTCTTCATGATGTTCATTCTCTTCGTCAAAACTTTTTTTAAAGAGTTGGTTCATTATATACATCAAGAGAATATCAGCACAAAAACGCACCCACAAGAGAGAAGGCACGGACACAAAGTACCTGTGTGTCAGTGTCTTCTTTCTTGCGAGTTTGTTTGCGAGTTTGTTTTCTCACTGCTAAACTCTTGTTCATTTTTCAGTTCACACACACGACACTCGCGCCGATTACTCCAGTGCGGGATGCAATAGTCATGATGGGTGGGTGAGCGAGTACTGAGATAGAAAGAAGACAGAAAGAGAAAGAAGTAAATAGACAGGGCAGAGACATAAACACACATAAAGACAGGAAAATAGGAAGAGACAAAGGAAAAGAAAGACAGAAAGAAAGAAAGAAAATGAAGAGGAAATAGGACAGGCTACCCAGAACCGTACTTTCTTTAGGCTTTGCACCATTTGTGAGAAGCTACCTTAACCATTTTTTTATCTGTGTCGCTTACTTAATCCCTGTAACATTCCCGTAACGACAGGTAGGCCCTTTACGTCTTTCCTTATTTATATCAAGAATTCTCGCCTTCGGTCCCGAGCCGCACCTACGGCGCCCCCATTGCGCTAATTGGTGTGGAACGTCTCGCGTTATGAAACAAGGTGGAGCACGGGAGCAGTGCTCGTTCTGCAAACTGACATCTGGGTCGCGTCGGCGCTCTGCCATCGTGGGGTCATTGCTCGTCGTAGGCGCTGCTCAGCTCGCCAAGTTTTTTCGGAAGAGCAACAAAAAAAAGCAAGAAAATGAAGTGTGGTTTGCGGTCGTCCCGGCAAAAAATCGACCGGCCCAACTCTTTCTAATTGGGGCAGCAGCAGTAAAGAGAGTGGAGCGAGGTGTACGCCTCCTCTCATCTCAATTTGCCGCCGTTGATGCTCGGTCACGGTGCGCTTCGGCGAGAGTTACGTTGGAGGCACGGCTGCTCCAGAAAAGGTGGGGCCGTGCGTGTTATCGCAGTGGAAAAAAAAAAAGTCCCAAGTTCGTTTTGTCGCCACTACCGTACAGGACGATGTTTGTGAAACCGTTTGGGAGGTCAGAGTACTGTAACAACTTGCGCATAGAATTTTTTAAAAAGGGGGTGGAGGGGGATTGAGGAGCACTTTTTTTCTACCGGGTAAATGG